TCTTTATGAAAAAGGGATACATAGCTTTTTTCCATTTCATCCAAAAATGGTATAATCCAGTGGATAAAGCTTCGAATCTTTGTGTAATGTATCACAAATTCGTGTAAGTCTCTGATTATGTAAAGATTTGGAAGCAACATAGCCTGATAAGTGAAATTTGGAGGATAAGGCTATGAGATTTGATCAATGTTCTTCAACCAAGCTTGCTTGAAGGGTTTATAGTTGGATTCGAAGTATGTTGCTTCGAAGGAAATTAATGCCTCAGTCGAAGCTTGTGGATTAAACTTGATCGAAGGAGGCCACATGCCCATTCGAAGCTGGTGAACCAAGCTTGCATCGAAGGAGGCCAAATGTACAATCGAAGCTTGTGGACCAGGCTTGCTCGAAGGAGGCCTAACTGTCTAATCGAAGCTTGTTAAAGATAATCATTTGTTCAATCGAAGCTTGCATGAAGATAACCATTTGTCCAATCGAAACTTGCATGAAGATAACCTTTGTCCAAACGAAGTTTGCATGCAGGATAGCCATTGTCCAAACAAAACTTGTATGAAGATAACCATTTGTTCAATCGAAACTTGCATGAAGATAGCCTTTGTCCAAATGAAGCTTGCATGCTGGGTATCCATTATCCAAATGAAACTTGTATGAAGATAACCATTTGTCCAATCGAAGCTTACATGAAGATAGCCTTTGTCCAAATGAAGCTTGCATGCAAGAGGCCATTGCGTTGTGAATTAAAGCAAACCTGCAGGAGGTCATTGCCTTTTAAATCAAAGCAAGCCTGCAGGAGGCCATTGCTTTCTGAATCGAAGTAAGTTGTTTCAAAGGGAGACATTGCCCAGTCAAAGCTATCATGAAGGAAGGAGTTCAGTCGAAGCTAGCATGAATCGAAGCAATGCCTAGCCAAAGCTAGTATGAATCGAAGCAAGCTTGCTTTTCTTTAATTTTGTCAAAAAAATAAAATTTATCTGCTTTGCTCTTTCAACAGTTTCCTCTTTGACTTGATGCTTGAAAATCCAATATGATCCATGGAAACTATGTGGGACATTAAAAATCCAATTATACTTGTGCAATCTTGAACTTTAGTTTTTAGTCATCAGTGTTGAGGAAGTATTTTGAGTTGATCAAACCTTGTGCAGCCTTGACCCAATAGAAATCTTGTGAGAAAATTATTAAGAAATGAGAGGGAAAATTTTGGGGTACAACACACACACTAGACATAGACCATTAGAGTACACAATTATTCTCTAAGATACCATGCAAAGTTATCATCAAAACTCAAGACCAGATGTAGAACCAATCTTGTTCTTACAAAAGCGTTGTTATAAAATGTAATATTTGTAGTAGTGTTAGGTGTTGTAATTAAGATATTAGCCTTGACATCTTGATCTCACAAGAAAAATAACTTGATAATTACTTTTGATGAAGACTTCACATCATAATATTATTATAATCAAAATTATTTAGATCATATGACTGTTGTAGACATTATACCTATAAACACGTAGATCCATATTTTCTCTTTATGATGATGACAACGTGTTTATCAGAGAAGTGGGCAAACAAAGAAACAATGGTAAAAGATTGGAGTGGTTAGACTCCCCATACCAAATATAGAGAGTATACTCTACTCTCTTTAAGAGCATATTTCTCCCCCTTTAGCATTATCAAAAAGGCAAAAGGAATAAAAAGATATGAAAATTAAATCACATAGATAAGGAAATAAGAATGGGAATGACTTGGTTACTACTACCTTCGTTCCTTTTTAATTGTCACTTCTTGGAAAATTTTATGTTTCTTTTTAATTGTCACTTTCAAAGTTCAAAGTAGTAATGATTATTATTTTGTCAAAATTACCCCTAATATTTATTATAGAGAGAGAAAAAACAAGTCAATTAAAATAATGAATAGTTAAGGATATTATAGGTAAAATGAAACCGAGAGAGTATTAATTTAACTAAAATTTATTCAAATTACAGAAAAATAGGAAATTGTTGTAAGTAAGGTCACTAAAAGCGATAAAAGCATGACACAAAACTACTAATTATTAATATCATCATTGGGTATATCCTTTCTCAACACATGTTTCTTGATGAGCTTTGGTCAACTTTTCAATAGCCTGTGTGGTGTCTTGGGAGATTGCTAAAAGGGTCGAAAAAATTTCTTCAATAGAAAGTTATTGATTTTCCTTGCTACCATCTATTTCTATTAAAACATTCTTTAAGTTCTCATTAACAACTCGGACTTTGATTAGACTTAAGGATTTATCATTAATCTTCCCAAGAGATGGACTTGAGATTTCACATTCCAAAAAGATTCCAGCTTTGACTATGGTCTTGGTGATCAAAATTCTACCGGGTAGCCCTGTTGAATTGCTCCTTTGGCACTTGAACATATAGCAAATAGTTTCATTAACTCATTTAACAAGAAAGTTATGAGATAGCATCCACATAAGTATTACACCTTCCTTTAGGATCTCGTCACATTTATCCTTTCTTGGAAGTAACACGTGATTCATTAGGTGGTGCATGATGCAAGAGCTTGCTTTCATGAATTTCGTCTTAAGAGGAAGTTTTTTTCCCTTTTTGGATTGATAAGATAACTTTCAATCACAATAATAGGATGAAAGTTGGTAGTATTATCAGAAGCATTAGCATATTAAGTTTTTCCATAAGAGGGTGCCTTACTAAAAACCCAAACTCCTGTGTGGTGAAATTGATCTTAGTTTCACCAATTCTTGATGTAATAAATATGCTTTAATGCTTGAGGTTTACGTAGAAAATTTGAACTAGCCTTGGATACAGCGAATTTAGTTTTTCAACAAATAATTCTCTAAGTAACCCATAACAAATGTTACCATAAGGAGAAAAATCTATGACAAAATTTTCTTGTGTATAAGGACTTAGGGCACATGTTTCTTGGGGAAATCTTTCTCTAATGTGACTTTTGATGAGGGAACCTTTAATGGGGAGATTTTTGAAGAAGGGTTTTAAATGCAAAGACTCTTTATGGAGCCATAACAATGATTATAATAACAACAAAGATAAACATTTGTACAAACAAGAGAAGAGAAAAGAACTTGGGATAAATAAGAGTTAGAAGTGTGTTTTTTGAGTTATTGTTGACGTGGAAAATCATCTAAAATTATATTGATTCTCCGCGTTAGAGATTGATTTGTAAAAAATTCTAAACAAACTCTCTAATCGGTTAAGCCTTAGGCTAATGGATTAGATCTCATGAAAAATTGATTTTTCAACGCTTTAATTTTTAAGATTTGATTTGATTGAGATTTAGAACAAAAATAATCCTTGACTTAATTGATCTCTTCTTGAATTGTTGAAAATTTGAGACAAAAAAGAATTTAATTGATTATACCATTAGGATTAATCGGTTAGGTGGCACATAATCCTAATTCCAGCTACATCTAATTGATTAAAAACCCTTTTCAGCCTCCAGTCTTTTAGGCCTTAGTGACATTGGGTTTGAATTTCTCTTTTTTTTTCAACACCCATTTCTCACTAAAATACCTCTTTGCCAAATATATCAATTTCATATGGCAACTTTGCTACAAATTAAATCAATCTCATCCAAAAAGTCATTATTGGTAAAAAAATATTCATGAAGCATATATAAGACCACTTGCTAAAGGATTTAATTAAATTTTTTCGATTTAATCTCTATAAAGTGTTTTATCTCAAAAATTATCTCAATATATCTTGAGAACTTTCATTTTAAAGAAAATCATTGAAACATAAAAACTGACTTAAATTTTTCGAGACAACTCACTTAAAAGAGAATAATTTAATTAGTCAACTCAACCGATTCTCTAATAAAAATTAATTATAATAAAGTGGTGGTGAATACTACTAATTATTTTTTAGATAAAAATCGATAAAAAATAAGAGCTTGTTTTAATTTTTAAAAAGTAATTATTTTTATATTTTTAAAAATAACTTTAAAAAAGTAATTATTTTTATATTTTTAAAAATAAACGTTATAAAAACTTTTTTTTAAATAGTAAAATTTATTTAACATAGTCTAAAATTTAAGTAACTTTTAAAATTTTGATATTTAAAGAAAGTTATATATCTAAAATATTATTTTATAAAAAAAGTTATTCAAAATAATTTTATTTAAAAAATTCTTTATGAATTCTTAAAAGTAAAAAATATATAATACTATAAAAATCATTTTAAAAATTTAAAATAAACATCCCTAAGTAGATTTATTTAGGTGGTAAGAGATTTAGATTTTGATCTCTAATTTTAGGACAGGGAGAAAATTTGGTTGAAAAAGAAAACCTACCTAATGAGTTCAACTGATTTTTTAATAGAAATTAATGATAGTTAAATGGCTAAATTTTCTCATATTTAAAATAATAATCATAAAGAAAAAAAGAGAAATTGAAGCCAAAATAAAACTTAACACTCCATCAAATAAATAAAAAAGTGTGAACTTCATTTAAAATTAGATTTTGTGCATTACGATGGAGTGAAACACGGTATTGAAATTTGTTCTGACGATATATAAAGATAGAAAAAGTGGGACACAGCAATAAATTCCTTTCCTCTAGTACAAACATCTCACAATCTTCGTCGGTTTCACTTTATTGTTTTCAATCTCTTTAATCTCTCTCTCTCTCTGCTTATTTGGACTAATTTGAGTTTAACAACAAACATGTGCTTCACTTTCACTTCTTCGTCTTCTTTGAGGTTCAACTCTAACCATAACCTTAATCATTGCTCATTCCTTTCATTCATAGTTCTTCACCTATAAATAAGCTTTTCCTTATTATTTCTCACCTCATTCACATTAAAGTTTGAGTCTTTCAAAGTTTTAAGAGAGATCTAGACATTTCAACCATTTGGGTTGTGAAAAAGTTACAAACTTTTTTCTGGGTTTGAGGTTCGACAATTTTCATCAAGTTTTAATAATTTAGTGACCCTTTGAGCAGAAACCTAAAAGGGTATCCTTAATTTATGAAATTTCGTCCTTTTATGATGTTTGCTGGAAATGGGTTGTTTTATCCCATTTTGGGTTTTGCGTCTTTTGTGGTTTTTATTTACATGTCTTTTGGAGGGTTAAGGTTTAGTCTTGAAGAAGAGAAAGAATTGGGGTTTGTGATGAGAAATGGGACACAGTTTATGTTGGATGGGAAAGAGTTTTATGTGAATGGGTGGAATTCTTACTGGTTGATGGATCATTCTGTGGATTTTTCTTCGAGATTTAAGGTTCGGGAAATGATGAAAATCGGTGCTAAAATGGGACTCACTGTTTGTAGAACTTGGGCTTTCAATGATGGTCATTATAATGCTCTTCAAATTTCACCTGGTCACTTTGATGAACAAGTTTTCCAGGTATTGTTGTTTGTGTAGCTCTTGATTTGTGGTGATTTTGTACAGTGATGTTTCTGTGATTTGCTCTGATAGTGTTTTTGTGTGCCTATTCCGATGCTGCCGACACAAATTAGTTTTTTTATTATATATTTGTGTGTGTTGTAGTAGTAACTTGTTTTGTTTATTAAGGTTTACTTTTCTTTTGAATTTTTTATTCCTTACTCAGTTTTTGTTCTCTTTTCCTAAATTTGTGTGTGTGATTATGTCTCTCTGGGTTTGCAATAGTGAATGTTTGAATTTACATTGAATTTGACAGATAAACAAACTCTCCACCAATCAAATATATAATTATGAAATTGAGACACCATTGTTCTTGGGAATTGGTAGAATTCGAAGAAAAAAACGGCAAGAAATCTGTGGTTAGCATATACGTGTAGAATCAATTTTAAGATTGTTTTTTCTTGTGCTCCTAAAATTACGCTCACTAGCTAGATGGGCCCAATAAGAAATAAGTTGGACTTTTGTTATTCTTCTTGTCCCTTTGTCCATCATCAATGGAAATTGACCCGAAAATGGTGACAGTGATTCTGTCTTCTAACTAAAAACAATATACGAACAAAATGCCAATACTGAAAGGTTTGTGTGCTTACATTTTGCAAAATTTCAATAGTTTGGAGACTTATGTTTTACTTAAGGTTTTAAATAACAATTGTGGTCGCGTGAAGACTAAAGACTTGCACGATTTCGGTCAGTAGAGGTGTTGCAACGCTGATTGTGGTTGCCGCGGTGTGAATTAACCATAATTTGTTATTTATCATAAAAACGATGAATAACGGTATCAGCATCACACCTTCCGATACCGTTTTGTCGTGGCCGTTTTCGCAGTGATTGACAGTTTCTTAAAACCTTAGGTCTAGTGCAAGTGATTGTTGTGCAGTGTGCGAGTGTTGGAAAACCCAGGGTATCAATTTTGATTCATGCTCATTATAAAAGAATTGTAGTGTAGTTCTTTTTGCCTGTTGTTTTGTTTTGCATTATTTTTGAAGTATTGAAATCTTGCTGACCGATGATTGATATGTTGACAGGCCTTGGATTATGTCATAGCAGAAGCAAAGCAAAATGGAGTGAGGCTGCTTCTTAGCTTAGTAAATAACCTGCAACCATATGGTGGGAAGAGTCAGTATGTCAAATGGGCATGGCAAGAAGGAGTAGGACTAAGCGCGTCCAATGACTCTTTCTTCTATGATCCATCAATCCGAAGTTATTTCAAGAATTACATCAAGGTATGACATATCTATCTTTCTTTTTCTCTTCTTCTGCAACAAAGTAGTAACACTGGGCTGAATCATCACTGCAAAAATACAAATCTTGCTTTGAAGCAAAGAATTTGATGGCCAGTGCATAACTTTCTTCCTTTACACACAAAAATTAATAACCTTATTTTTCAAGCTTCGTTGAACATCTTCTTCCTTGTTTCCTTTTACTTTTTTGGTTTTGCGGCTTTCTGTTTTCTCATGTGCCAAACTGAAAACATATTGAATGCTTTACACTTCTTTTGCGCATGATCCATGACTTCCAAATGAAGCTTGTGTATCTTTGGTTTTCCGTGTCAAATTTCCTTTTCATTTACTAATAGCTTCTTGAGTTTTCTGCAGACTGTCTTGACAAGGAAAAATACTTTCACCGGAATTGAATATAGAAACGACCCCACCATTTTCGGATGGGAATTGATTAATGAGCCCCGTTGCATGACTGATCGTTCCGGAGACACTCTCCAAGTAAGTCCTTAACCTGCACTCTAATCCTTTCAAATATTTATCGCAAAAGAAGGCTAAGAAGTAACTACTTCAAAAATTATATTAACTATTACTCGATGCTTCCTATTTGTTACATGCTGTATGGCCCATGAGGAGATTAAAAGTTCAATTTTTTTTATTAAAAAAATTATGATCTCCAATGAATTTTCCTTGTCTGTATTCTCTCCAATACTGATACTACATCCAAATTTTATCCTTTTTTTCAATTTGATACTGCAAGTTTTAGTCCTTGATGGAAAATATATAGAAAATTAAGGAAAACGTTGAAACGTTTTCTGCAGGAATGGATAGAAGAAATGTCGGCTTTTGTGAAATTGATTGACAAGAAACATCTGCTGACTATTGGGAATGAAGGATTTTATGGTCCTAACGACCCAAAAGATTTGACTGTCAACCCGAATTATTGGGCATCAAAACTTGGGTCTGATTATATCCGGAACTCCAAAGTCTCTAATATTGACTTCACCTCGGTTCATATCTACCCTGATCAATGGTAAGCTTTGCATGAATTTTTACGAGTTTTTCATGCTCAACTGATTAACTAGTGCAGCAAGAGTTATTCTGAAAATTAGATTCATCAGCGCGGCTATTTCTTTTTTTTCTTTTCTTGAACTATCTGTTTTTTATAGGTTTCATGAGGATGAGAAAGCAATTGAAACTCAACTGAAATTTGTCTACAAGTGGATGCTATCCCACATTGAAGACGGGGACCAAGTACTAAAGAAGCCGGTCTTGTTCTCCGAATACGGATTATCAAAAAAGAACCAGAACTTCACCATATCTGCCCGGGAAAAGATGTACGAAACAATTTTAAACATCGTTTACAAATCTGCAAAGAGAAACAGGTCTGGAGCAGGTGCTTTAGTTTGGCAATTCTTATTTAGCGGAATGGAAGACTACACCGATGATTATGGGATAGTTCCGGGGGAAAGTCCGTCGACACAATCATTATTTATAAAACATTCATGCAGATTGGCCAAACTCAAGGGATGGATTTCTCAACATGATGTAAATTTCAAACAACTTTGTTAGCAGAGGAAGTGGAAATCAAAGTTTACTATATTATGGAATAGAGATTTTGTGCAATATCATACTTCAAGTTCTTCATGTCCAAGTCCTATACTGTATAGGAATATGACTAGTTGAGTGTATAGTGTGGTAACTTGGACTAGAGTTTTTTTTATAAACAAAGGTATTGTTTACAATAATTGAATCTACAAGTAGTGAATGTTTTCTATTCAAAAAAAGATTTCAACATTTTCCTTTTTTTCTCAAATGAACAAAATGTTCTCAAAAAAGATTGGTGTTACCAATCAACAGAATATATTTGACCTACAAAATTTCATTTATCAATATTCATTGGATTGTTGAATAAACCTTAATTGTTCAGTAACACCAATCATATTGTTCATAATGTATAAAAATTTCTTCTTATTTGTTTTATAAAAATAAATTCTAAAGAAAAGCATTCATCAACATTTTCAAAGAGAATCTATTTTCTTTTTCTTGTTCACAAACAAACCCAGATCTACAATATCAACCAAGAAACAACGAAAAGAAACGAAAATTAAACTGAAATAAACATAATTTATATTTAAAAAAACCCTAATTAGACCTAGTCTTGGTCAATCTAGGAGAAACTCTAACCCTAATCCCAGAAACAGGACTTTCCTCTTCCTCTTCAACAACCTTCTTTCTCAATTTCTCTTTCCCTTCAACAACCTTCTTCACAGCATCACCGATTTTAACCAATTTCCGACTCCGAGTCTTCACCGGAGCAACCACCGAATCAGCAACAACCACCTCAGCAGCACGCTTCTTGTGAGGAGAAGCAACTCGATCGAAATCATCACCAAGCTTCTTGACCAAACGCCTTCCACGAGTCACAGGACTCGGAACCCTGACTTCCTCCTCTTCCTCCTCAAGAAGAGTCTCGAGTCTACGACGCTTTGAAGCAAACGGAGCAGGCGGTGGTGAAGGTGAAGGAGGTGAAGGTGAAGGAGAGCCCTTAGATCTGGGAACATCGGAGCTAGGGCTTTTGGCATGGGAAAGAGAATAAGCGTTGAATTCTTTCTCGCGTTGAGTACGGAGTTCTTCAACGTTGCCTACGATTTTACCCATGAGACGGAGGCGTTTGAAGCTGAGTCCGCCCATGGACCAGTGCGCTTCTTCGGCCCAGGACATGAGCGGGCCGGTGACGGAGAGAGGAGGATCTACACGGTCGCTACCGTCGGAGTTGACGTGGATTCGGGGACGGGGGAGGCTTGAGCCGTAGAACCTGACGGGCTTTGAGGGTTCGAATGGGAGAACCATTGTTTTTGATTTAGGTTAGGGTATGAATAATAGGGTAGTGTGGATGAGATTGTTGAGAAAAAGTAGGACTGTGTTTGTTAAATAGGAGAAACCGGAGTGATTAAAAAAGAGGGTTTTGATGGCGGGAATAAGGAGATAGGCGGGATAAGTTGCCGCTTGTAATTACTGAAAATAAAATTGAAATATGACATTGTCAAAACTTTCATCGGAGACTTTATTCTAAATAACAATGTGATAAAATTGAAATATGAAATATTAAATGTGATTGTTTTGATTTTTACTTTGAAGATATAAAAAAATTAAGATTTTAGTGATAAATATTTATTTTATGTATATTTTTTCAATCAAATGGTTTCTTAAACTATGTATTTTTAAAATTATGGATATGATTAATTTTGATATTTGGAAAAGAATAATGTCAAGACAAAAAATAATGTATTAAAAACAATGTTTTAAAAAATAATTTGAATATTAAATCTGTGAGGATATTGGATTACTGATTCATTTATTGAACCATTTGATTATTGGTCGAACTGCATGATTAAATCTTATTAAATCAGATAATTCGATCGAATAATCAAATCTCTATAATAAAACTATATAGTTATTAAATCGATCGAATTGAATAATTAGGTCTCTAAAAAAGTCACAACACCTACAAAATTTCAAAATATCATAATTTTACAAATTTAATATATAAATTTTGAACAAATTTTAATTACAACATAAGTTTAATAATAAAATAATTGTAATGTCAAATTTAATTTCAATGAAAGAAAGTTGTTTCGAATATGTTTTAAACAAAATCTATTTTTATTTTATTATATTTTTCTAAAAAATTATCAAAACGTCATTGTTTTGTATGATAAAAATATAAGAATCCATAGATTCGATAAATTTTATCAATTTTGATCGATTCTGACTAATTTTTACTGATTCAATGACTTATTCAATCTGGCAATCAAATTCGAATAATGACCCCTCTAATTCACTATTTAATTATATAGTTTACATTAAATTGTTTTTTATTTTTTTGTCAAAGATATTTTTAAAAAATTAATAATATTTTTAAAACTCCTGTATAAGATTTTAATTATAAATTATAAAGAATATATTATAATTATTCATGATTTTATTTAGATAAATAAAAAGTTTATTAATTAACAACAAATAGTTATTCCTTGTAGCTCTTGGAAATATTACACATGAAGATATTATAATTATTTTCAATTTTATTTAAATAAATAAAAAGTTTATTAATTAGAAATAAATAAAGAATTGCTTCGGGCTCTTGCATGACTTTTCTCGTGAAGTATATTGACTTTTCAAACAAATGAGAAAATCAATGAAGTTATCATCGAGTATTTATTTATCTCACGGAAGGAAAAGGAAACATCGAAGAAAACCTGAGAAGGGAGAAATCACGATCTTGCGACCGAGAGATCAGGTACAGAAGTCGATTACGCAAGGGAAAGGTATTAGTACCCCTCATGTTTGTGGTACTCCACGGGATCCACTCTTGTTGTTATAATCAAAGGGTGTGTCTAAAGCTTACGAGCTAAGGGGGAAATGTATGAATGCAGAGTGTATATACAAAGAAAAAGGTTTTATAAGTTACACCCGCCGCGATTGCGAACCTTTAGTGCCTACGTACCACCTTTCGTGCAGTAGAGGATCAGGACACTCGTAGTTCTCCTAGAAAATGTTGGTTGGTTTTTGTTCTGGTCTGGCCAAATGCATAGGCATGGCCCAATCCACTTCTACATCCAAGATGACCCAACAACTTTGGCCCAATCAATTGGAGCAGATAATGGACACCTTTCCCCTCTGCCCCTCAACTGGGGACACGTGGTCGGTCCTCCCAAGACCAGTGTGACCACCGTTGCCCTTGACAGCACCTCTGCATGCAGCTGCTTCTGCCCCTCAATCGGGGACACGTGGTCGGTTGTCCCCCCATGACCAACGTGACCACCACTGCCCTCAACAGCACCTCTGTCTGCAGCTGCTTTTGCCCCTCGTTCAGGAACACATGGCATGTTGTCCCCCCAGGACCAACAAGACCATATATGCCTGCTCAAACAAGCTAGTCCTCATCCTGCCAGCCACACGAGGACAACCTCCCAGGAATGGCCAGAATCATCTTTGCACGTGAGCACATCTCTGCTCGTCATAACGGCCAACTTTTTCCCTGTCTGCTCGACACACCTAGAGCAAACACCCAGGAAACGCTCATAAACGATTTTGCCCGTCATCTCATCCTTGCTCGATGCAACGGCTAGTTACGAGCACGATTGTCCGTTTTGACCAAGTCCTGGAAGTTATCTATTTTTAAGGACCTGCATATCTAGACCCAAAAAATAGGAATCAATGACTATGCGTCAGGGGTATTATATAAACCCTCACACTTGTGAGGGCCAAGTATCCAATATTCATCTCTCAAACCAAAATAATTTGCTTGTATCTCTTTACTCACGCACTTACTTGATCGTCAGAGTGCCTTGCAGGTACAATCCCCATTTCTCCTCAACTTTCCAGCCCGTCAAAGATCATCCTCCGGCCAGCTTGCATGTTATGATCAACCGGTAAGATCAGTGGCGCCGACTGTGAGAACTATCTTCCCTATTTTCTGTTCCTCGAAATTTGAAGACCAAATATCCTCTTCATTCATCAATAGTGGTCGACCATGATGATCATCGACTATCTGGAAGGGTTGTACTCTCCCCCGCATACAAGACCGACAAAGGCAAGAACATCCTCACCTCGAGGATAACTTCGGCGCCTGTGACGGACATACTGCGTCCCCAGATTCCATCGATTTTGATCGCGACAACAATCTATTCTTGGACAAATAGTTTCCCAAGAACCATGTCAAAGACCATCTCGAACAATCGGTCCTTTTTCTGCAGAATGCCAACCCAGCCATAACATCACTGATCGCTGCCCTTAACCAAACCAACTCCCTCATTCTCTAGTAGAGCAAAAGGATGGGGACTCTGGAGCGGAAACAGTCGAGGTCTCGCCTTCATATACACTGACGACATAACTCATCCACCATATCGCCTCCCCGAGGTGGGTGTCCTTCAAGAAAGGAAAGACTCGATGTTTCTTTCCACAAGAAACGTGATCGAGCATCTCCGAAGAAGGATAAAGACTTTCTGCTTTCCAAGAAGACGAAGAGCACCTGCAAAGATGACCGCAGCAGGTCACTATCACCCAAATCGAGGCAGTAAGGGCAGAGCCCCTCCCCTCGACGAGATAATGACGCCCGACGAGGAAGAAACCATCACTCCCTGCCATCATCGCCATAAGAGACCGATGACAATGAGCCCAGGAGTCTGTTATCAAAAGAAATTATTGAGGCACGACTCCCAGTCGGGCTCGAGAAGTCTCCCCCGTTGGGATCTGTGATACGGTGGCTGGACCGACTATTAATACTGGTTTGCATTTTTTGTTCGCAAATGTCGCGGTAAGCAAGAGTCGCCACCGACTTTTATTTTATCCAACAAAGGAAAAGGAAAAAGAACAGAAAAAACCTTTTTCGAGAATGTTTCTGAGTACGGGGGGTATATTATAGAAAGGGAAGGTGTTAGCACCCTTTCTATCAGTGGTTTTCCACGGGCTCTTAGGTACTTGCTCATTTTTTAAATTGCTTGTGTGTGTTTGTTTTGAAAAAGCTTTACTTCGTGATAACCCTTGTATCAGTCCTCAAGAGTGTGACGAAGTTGTTTTGAAAATTGTTTTGAAAAGTGTTTGTGTGAAAAGTTTTGTTTGAGCAAGTACCTAGGAACTAATCTACCTACTCGAAAAAAGTCTGTTCGTTTTCCTTTAGACACTGCTATCCTATTATTAAGGAATAGGTAGCACCGTCGTTGGAGTTTTTAAGGGACATTTAAAGGGACAAATACGATCACAAAAGCAATGTTAGGAAATTTTAGTAATCGTCCTAAAGCCTTAAAGATCTTTTTCTGAGGCGACATCCGACTGGGTCATTTTAGATCTTTTGAGACTAGAGGACGACCACTAATATTCCCTATACTTTATGACCGTTTACCGAAGGCAACCGGAGTGGAGTAAACCCTAGGAATAAGCATGTGCAAGTGTATTTTTTAGTTAATTATCTTTGCACAATAAGGGTTTTCTACCGTTTTAATTTCAATTTGTCTTTCCATACAATCTTATACATACATCTAAGCAGTTTACAGTTTATGGAAATTAAAATGCGAGAAATTAGAGTCCTAGCTATTACATGGTGTGATGCGGTGGGAGAACTGACTTGAGGTTTTGCGTTTGTGTTCGCAAATGTTGCGGTTTAGCAAGAGTCACCACCGACTTTTATTTTACCCAAAAGGAAAGGTAAAAAAGCACATGAAAGACCTTTGAGATTGTTTTTGGGTTCGGGGGGTAGATTATGAAAAAGAAAGGTGCTAGCACCCTTTTCATCCATGGTTTTCCATGGGCTCTTAGTTACTTGTTTTAGATCACTTGCTTTGCTTTTTCAATTGTTTGAAATGGGGCTTTGTGTGGTTTTAAAAGTATTTTGAAAAGAGGCCTTTGTTTAGGCAACCTTTGTAATGATTCTTGTTGGTAAGAATGTATACAAAGATGTTTGTCTTTTGAAAAATGTTTCAATGTTTTGAAAGTTGTTTGGAAATTATTTTGAAAGTGTGTGTGTTTGTTTGAAAATAGCAAGGATTGTTTGAAAGAGATCAAGTAACTAGGAGCTATCTACCCTACTCAAAAGTCTTTCTTGTATATTTTTTATTCCTTTGACATTGTTGACCTACTATTGTTTTAGTAGACAACCCTATCTTTGGATGTTAAACGGGACGGGCGTGGGTCATCGTATGACCATGATAGCAATATTGCCAAGTATCTTAGCAAGTTTGAGGGACCAAGATTATTTGTTTTAGGCAACCTTTTGATAGCGTCATCGAGGGACTATGATCTTTTGTTTTGTTTGATTTTGCCAAGATACCTAGCATGCATACCATGGCCATGTT